GACCTCTCCGCGATCGGGACTGGCCGTCCGGTCGCAAAACCCTCCCCTTGAGCGGGGCCCCCATGAGCCCCGGCACCTAATAAAAACTGGGACCCCACTCCTGACGATGGATATCTTGGAACCTGGCTCGATGAAGAACGCAGCGAAATGCGATACGTAATGCGAATTGCAAAACTCCGTGAATCATCGAAACTTTGAACGCATGTTGCGCCCGAGGCCTCGGCCGAGGGCACGTCTGCTTGAACGCCACACACATCCAGGTGGAGCCACGCATCCGCACCCACACCCTCCGCACGCGGCTACGTGCGGCCGGGTGAACGGGACGGAACTGCCAAAATGCGTCGGCATACGAGGGGCGCTCGGGTTTTGCTCGAGACAATCGCCCGTACCTGGGAAAACGAGATGGCCGTCGCAACCCGTGCACAACGGGGGGCAGTCGGCTGAAATCGCAGGGCCGCCGCAAGCCCGTCTCCTCTCCGTCTCGACCCCAGTGCAGATCCCCGGATGCCAACCGGGAGGACGCGAGCGGGACGAGCGAAACGAGGCGGGTGGCGACCCCGCTGGGCTCGGTGAACCCAGCCGGCCAACGGACCCCGTCCGGACCTCCCAGCAGGTGGGGGGGTATCGGATGCCAAACCGTTCCTCTTTTCCTCTCCCGAGAAGGCCGCGAAACGGAAAAATGGAGCCGAGGGCGTGGCAACCCTCGGTCTCCGCCCTCCAAAGTAGCGTGCACGGACCGGGCGAGGGGCGGACGGGGCCCGTACAAAAATGGTCGGACCGGGGAAGAACCGGGCAAACCCCCAAGCGATGGCTTCAAGTCAGGCGAGACCACCCGCTGAATTTAAGCATATTACTAAGCGGAGGAAAAGAAAACAACCGTGATTCCTTTGGTAGCGGCGAGCGACCAAGGAAAAGCCCAGGCTTGAAATCCGAGGGCCTCCGGCCCTCCGAATTGTAGTCTGAAAAGGAAGCGTTCTCTGTGACGGGCGCCGCCTTAAGTCCACTGGAAAGTGGCGGCAGAGAGGGTGACACCCCCGTCGGGCGACGACCCGTCACTTCACGAGGCGCATCCGAAGAGTCGGGTTGCTTGGGAGTGCAGCCCCAACATGGGTGGTAAGCTCCATCCAAGGCTAAATACGGCCAGGTTTCCGATAGCGAACAAGTACCGCGAGGGAAAGATGAAAAGAACTTTGGAAAGAGAGTAAAAAGTGCTTGAAATCGTCAGGAGGATAAGCGCATGAGCCCAAGCACACCTGCGGGACCCGTTCACGCGGGGCCCGGAGGTACGCAGCGCCGGTCGATGCCGCGGGAAAAGGAGCTCGCTCCCACCGCGGCGGAGACCGAGGATGGCCCTCACGGGTCGGCGCTGGCGAAACGGGCTGATGCGACCCGTCTTGAAACACGGACCAAGGAGGCCAACGCGGCTGCGAGCCAATGGGTTGAAAACCACAATGGCGACAGTGAAAGCGACCCGTGAGAAGGCGGCCTCGTGCTGCCCGCACCACGGACCGCCCCGGGGGCCTCGGCGCCCGGGGTGCGTTGAGTAGTCGCGTTGGGACCCGAAAGATGGTGAACTATGCCTGAGCAGGGCGAAGCCAGAGGAAACTCTGGTGGAGGCCCGCAGCGCTACTGACGTGCAAATCGTTCGTCAGACTTGGGTATAGGGGCGAAAGACTAATCGAACCATCTGGTAGCTGGTTCCCTCCGAAGTTTCCCTCAGGATAGCTGGTGCTCGATACGTGGTTACGTCTGGTAAAGCGAATGATTGGCGGGCTCGGGGGAGAAGCTCCCTCGACCGACTCTCAAACTTTAAACGGGCGAGGAGGGCCGCCATCTTAATTGTGGCTGGCTTTCAGGGGTGCTGGCTGACCCCACCAACATGAGTGCCAAGTGGGCCATTTTTGGTAAGCAGAACTGGCGAG